TACTCAACAAAAGATCATGTACTGTTGCTGAGTTCTTGTGTCTTCTTGAGTCTGCTGGTGCAGTCACCATGGTGCTGGCCACATTGTAACATGGGATGAGCTCCTTGGCACCACCTAGAACAGGGAAGTTTCAGGCCCATAGCAGCTTGCCCATGCACAGTGCCATGGTGTGCACCTTGAGAAGGTGCTCTGTGGAGTTGGGCTTGGGTGTTGGCACAGGTTGCTCAGTGAGGATGACATTTGTGGACATCAGGCTGGAAAAGAGTCTGCATGGTCTGACTTGCCAAGGCCCAGGCACTCAAGGAGAGGAAGTGGATGAAGGAGGGCTGGGAAAACAACCTCCCTGAGAAGAAACTCCTCACCATGGCTGCAAGAACTTGGTGGGTGATTGTGGTGATGGTAGGCAAGGTCACAAGGCTGCAAGCAGTTGGCTTGGTAGTTGTTTCATAGGCTACCTGTGTATGAAGTGAAATCATGATTTTATGCTGGCATTTACCAAATCTTCAACAAGACCTGGTGCGGGAAGGAAAGGTAACCCCGCGGCGAAGGCTACCACGGTTGGTCTTCCCTTGTGAGACGGTTATTTAGCCCACTTTTTCAACCAACCTCGCAACAGTTCACAACAACTGTTAACTGTACCATGGCTAGCCGCAAGTCGCTGAAGATTTTGGGTATTTCGGGAAGCCTGCGCCATGGCTCGAGCAACAGCGGTCTGATAAGGTCGGCGGCCGCGTCGGCTGCGCGTCTGAATCAATCTACGCAAGATTATCACATCAATTTTCAGATCTACCAAAGGCTCAAGGACATTCCGCTCTACGATGGTGACGTTGAGGCCAAGGCCATGCCTGAGTCTGTCGTTCACTTCTGCCAGGCCATCGCCGAAGCCGACGCGCTGCTTATCGCCACCCCTGAGTACAACTACAGCGTTTCGGGCGTCCTCAAGAACGCCATCGACTGGGCTTCGCGTCCATACCGTCGCACGCCCCTCACCGGCAAGCCAGTGGCCATACTCGGCGCTGGTGGTGTATCTGGTAACGTTACCCCCCCCCTCCTCTCCTACTCTTCTCGCCTTTCTTATCGCTGCGCAAACAGGGACAAGCAGAGCACAGTATCATTTGAGGCAGGTGCTGCTGGACGTGGCCATGCCGGTGCTGCCCAAGCCCGAGGTCATGGTCAACTTCTTTGCACCGGGCAAGTTCGATGCCACCACCGGCGAGCTGCTTGACAAACAGGTGAAGGGCGAGATCGAGCGCCAGCTCCGGGCGCTTGCTGTCTGGACGGCTACGCTGCGCGGTTGGACTCCTACGATGTAGACCAAAGGTGACAGTTAGATGACACTGCATTGAGATAGAATTAAAAGTGCTCAATTGTATTTGGCAAGGAATCTAGCACACACAATGTGCTGTCATTTTTGGATCGTGTAGCAACGCAGAGGGTACTGTAGGATCTCACTACCGGCAGAGGAGCAACCATAGGTGCGGGACCCATCTACCCGCCAAAGCCGTATATGTCCGTGCCCGCGTTATAAGAATGATTATGACCTGAAGCTCCGGAGTCTGCTACTTTTTATATTTTACTAGGTCCTAGGCTTTTCGTTAACACGCCCAACAAGAATGGCAGACGCATGCGCAGCAGAAACCCTCACGTCCTCTTATGTGGATCTCTCTGCGCCGGTTCAGGACGCCGCTGCATCCCTCTATTCGGCTATTACGGCGGAATGCGAAGGTGGAACATATGACGACACCGGCGTGCCCTACGTCTACTCGCCCTACGTTGACCCCACCCGCTGCCTTGCAGGCAGCCCAACAATCAAAAAGAAGAGCAGTGCCTGCGTGGACGTTCTCCATTCGCCCTTCGTGCAGGTCCCAGACGGCTATTCCACTCCCGTGCACGGCAAGGCTTGTGACGACGTGGGCAACTTCCCCGATCTCCTGGAGGAGGCTTCGCCCTCCAAGGCACCACCGTCGACCGTCAGCGATAAAGGTGGAAGCACGCGTGGTACCAGCCCCTTCTCGTCAGAAGAGGAGGCCGTGATGCAGGTGGAGGCCCTGCTTGCATCGCTCCCGTCGGACAAGTCTCGCCAGCGCGTGGTATCACAGCTCAAGGCTGCACAAGGTGGTGGCGACTTCACCGTGCTGGAGCCAGCAGCTGTTGTCGCCAAAGGGAAGGGAGAGCGGGAGAACATGGACGGGGTTCGGCAATGGAACGAAGAGTATCAGAGCGTGGTGAGCAAGGGACTCAAGAACCTCAAACCCGAGGACGTGCGCACCATTGCGCGACTTATGAACGACTTTGTCCGGCAGGCCGAAACCTACGCCAAGATCATCATCAACGAACTCAACGTTCCCGACCACCGGTACACCGAGCTTCATCCCTTTCCCCCTTCCCTTCCTCTTTAGCCCCCTTCTTTCGCCTCCCCCCTTCCCCCCACATACCTCCATCACTCCTCCACCCCCCCATGACGATGTGTGGGTTGGGGTATGCGCGTGCGTGTGCAGGAAGACCATCAAACCGGCCGGGGTGGGCGGGGTGGCCGGCGGGAGGAAATACATCGTGCAGGGCATCCTCTTCAAGTTCTGCCTCGACCCGTTGGTCTCCAAGAAGGTGCTGCGCCACCACATTGCCATCCCTGGCTTGCCGTGCCCCCCGTTCCCTTCCTCATTCTCCCCTCCCGGTGGTCCCTCCCTCGCCTGCCTTTGGAACGCGCAGCCAATGACGTGGCTCTACGGTGGCGATCGGCCGGACGATGATGCCGCCATCAAGGCTGCAGGCCTGGAGCTGCAAGGTCTCTGCACGTCCACCACCGCAACCATCACCAGCCTCCACCACCCGCTTATCGCCCTGGTGCGTGCACCCGCCTACTGGAAGGCCAAAAGGCGGCAGTAATAGTGCTGTTTTTACTTTGTATGGTGTAGGTGCGTGTGGATATTTTAATGCCCTCACCCACACACCCACCCACACCCACGTACAGATCGATTACAAGGGATTCAGACTGGTGGCCATCTGCCTGCTCCCAATTGGGCCAGGTACACTCAAGTATGGTACGATGACACTCTCCCCTCCCCCTCCCCCTCTCCTTCTCCTCCTCCTCCTCCTCCTTCTCCACTCATCAGCTGCTGTTCGTTCGTCGCCCTCCGTTGTGCATTCATCGATCGCAGGTTCAAACGATGCAGGGCACACAATCAAGGTGGGCGACGCGAAGCTGGACCAAATGATGGAGCTGCTCGGAGAGTACCTCAACCTACGCAAGCACCTGGTGGGCAAGCAGGGGGTGCCTCTGGTGGGGCCAGGCGACATCGAAGGCCATCTGGGCACCGACGGGCGCTATTACCTCCTTGGTAAGCGTACCGCCCACCCCTCGCGCCTTTCGCTTCTGTTGTTGTTAGGTTGGCGTCTTCCAACCACCTAACCGTACCCCGTGACCGTCCACCACCATTCCCCCCCCTCGCTAGTCAT